CAACATTAAGTTTTTCTGGTAAACACTGAAGGCAGAACTGAAGTCCTGACATGAAGGCAACACGTGTGAGACAGGAGACAAAGAGGAATACTATAAACAATAAAGAACGACCAACAGCAAAGCAAGCAACTGGACACATGCGGCTGGATGCTCGACATGGTTCGCTGAATGTGCGCCTTGCGGAAGCATCGTTCCAGTGTTGTTGGTTCGTTCCTGCTCTGTCGGCCTTTGTCCTCCATCTAAAAATTTCCAGGTCCGGCACATCCCCACGTCGTGGAGTTGGTCGGCCTGGTGCTTTGACTTTTACGTTCAGCCTCCAGCTCCCACTGCTCCCAGCTCATAGCTGAAGTCTGGAACGCTCCAGGTCGATTCAGTGGCCTTGCTGGCCAGATCAGTGATCTGGGCTTGGATGCGCACGAGGTCCCTGGGCCCAAAGCCCATGAAATTCGGATTCCTTTTGACTGGAATGACGCAGGACCAGCAGGTGCACTACTTTGTCACAGAGCTGCTTTCAGGCCATGGATGCTAGGGCTTGGGATTGGAAATTTGACAAGAAGACACATGAAGGCATCATCAACATCTGTTGCGGCCAGGAGGCTCTTTGGAGGATTCGCTGCAGCAAGGAGTTATGCCCGAGGCGACGGCACGTCGCATCATCAGGCAAGCTGCGCACGTTGCATCAGTGATTGTAAATTGTCATGAATTTCTTAGAGCTGTAGCGGTAAGCTGCAAGTGATGAGATGTCGCAGGAGGGTTTGCGAGGGACTTGCCAGTCTTCATGATCAAGGCACTCGTTTGCAGGTTGCTGTTTCCGTAGGTTCGACGTGCTTCTGCATCTCTTGGCTCTGGACAGGTATAGTGCACCGGGATCTCAAGCCGGGAAACGTACTGTTCAGCGAAGACGAAGAGGAAGTTTGAAGCATTTCATGCGTGTGTGGTTGTGTGTGGAGATGTTTTTTTCTTGAAGGCTTTTCCTTCTTAAGACATGAAGGAGCCAAAGTTGATAGACTTCTCGCACGCTGGGCTGGTGAATGGCGACGAGGTCAAGCTGAAGCCCAGAACAGACATCGAGCAAATGTGTGGAACGCGGAGTTTTCCCGCGCCGAGACCTGCAGCCAGGAGACATTGACTGGCGAGCTTGGAACTCGCGGTTTCGTAGCCCCGGAGGTCAGGAACAGAACTAAGCAGTACTGGCAGTGTGTTCTGGAGATACACCCAGACACTGTGAACACCAGGCTCATGAAAAACTCTGGAATTGCAAAGGTGCTCTCCGAAAGACCCTATGGAAAGAAATGTTCCTCGGCTTCTAGCAGGCTTCATGCTTGTGCCTGCTGTCCACTTATAAAAACATTGATGATTTTAAGGCGATGTCTTCTCTCTTGGCTGCACTGTACATGCTCTGTTGACTGGGCGGCCGCCACGCAGGTGGGAAGGTCAACGCCTAGTTGGCTCTGTTGATGACAGCTTAATGACGCAAACCTGCCTGACAACTCAAGTGATATAAATTATGCCAAGCGCAGTCACACGAACAGACTAAATATCCTATGTTTAGTAGACAGCTGTGTAATCTTCATAGATTAGGGTAACGAGATCCGGGCGAATAGATGCGGGGCGGCAGCTGGCAAATTTGACATCAGGCAGCTGCGGGTTGGCTTTGTCCAGCAGCTGTGCCAGCCTCAGACTCGAAGACTGTTGTGGCTTGGGTTTTGCGCTCCTGGATAGTTGAGCGGGGCCCAAAACACCATGAAAGAGTTTTATAAGAGGGTTCTCATATCGATCCTGGAAGTTGCAAAAACTGGTGCACGCGTCTCGGTAAGAAGACTCTGCGCGAAGCTGGCAACAAGCGCGCGTCAGTAAAAACCGTGCGCGCCTCAGTAAAACCTGCGGTTTTCATTCATGTCTCATTCGCGATAGCTTGTGTCGGTGCGAAAGAACAGCAAGAGCTCGAGATGTGCTGGCGCTGGGACCTTGTCAGTTAAAACGTATGGTTCGGCGATAGTGATTGATGCGAGAAGCAAAGGTTCAAAGAGTTCTGGCCACGGCTCAGTTGGCTGTTTGCTGTCCCAGGCCGAGCTCGGCTTCGCCATCTGCACATCGATTCGTGGAGGCTCTGGATGGGCTATGTCAAGCCTGGCGAAGTTTGGGACTTCCTGAGGCACTCCTGACTGTCGACCCAAGAAGCCGGCCTTCAGCGAGAGAGGCAACAGGAAAGTGTTCAAGCCTTCCCCCGAATGCTCACTGACTGCTTCTGGGCCGCTTGCGGTGCCCTTGTCCACGTGCAGGCCCTCGCAGAGAGTTGGCTGCAGGACTGGCTGCCTGCAGACCCAGGTCAACCTAAGTTCCATGTCAAAGTGTAGGCAGGTGGGCTTTGCCTGCGGGAGATGGGATGTAAGCAGCCCGGTCTCAGGGGTCTTGCTGTTTGATGCTCGGCCTGCTGCCTCTTTGATATGTCGCCTTGCAGGAGTGATTCGCGACCCACAGTACGGGGCCTGGATGACTCCCAGCCGATCACACTTCACATGAACAGTCTAGTGCATGATTTCTAGGAATAGCGTAATTACCGTACCACAAGTGGTGTCATTGTGACTGCCGATGCTACGTACAAGATCATGTACTGCTACTTATTTTATATGGAGACTCCCAAGGCGCTTTCTGCAAATCCCTGGAATTCCTGCAAGGCTTTGATATGCTGCGTATGATTTGCCATGCAGACTTGGATGTTTCAGTCACGACCATGCTGGCGCACTTGCTGTGAGGAATGTCTCTGAACCCTGTCAAATTTTGACTTACAAACGCCGCCTGTCACTTTGTGCGTTCTTGCAGGTCAAGTCTTGACTGTCATGGTTGTACAGACTCCAACTGTTGCAAATCATACTGACTCCAAGAAGCATCTGTGGAACGAGCTGGTAATGCAACAGTACTGGTGGAAAGTTGATTTGGAGGCAGGTGCCGCAGATGCTTCTAACTGACGCGTTTGCGAAAGTGCAGCAGTCAGTGAATCCAAGTTCTACACGAGAGCGAGAGAGAGAGAGATGCATAGCCTGAACGAAAGAAAGAAAGAAGGATGCATAGAGAAAGGTAGGTGGAGCGAGACATTCCACATTTTCAGAGGTTTGCCGTGAATGTGTCATACTTTGCACTTGAAAAAGTCACACGCAGCTTGCTGGAGTTGCCAGACTCATCCGGACTCTGTCTTATTGACACATTTGTTGATCAGCAGCAATCCTCACAGCTTGCGCTTTTTACTCTCAGCGGGCCATGGGCCTGCCAATGAGGCCGCACTGTAAAGGGCTCTGTCTAGTAGGCCAGCGCATAAAATGAGAGGTTCGCGACTTGTCAGTTTCAACTCCATCCGGGCGCCAGCCAGTGGACATAGCCTCGCATCGCGGCAGCCTTTACTCTCTTGGCACGTAGCCTCGGTCATTTTCTACCGTGATGCCGGACGATTATTGTTGCAATTGTGACATGTTCCGTGAATTCTGCTCGCATTGCAAGCACCTCTGGAGCTGCAGTGCTCGTGCGAGGGAAGCTTGCTTGCGGGTGAGTGGCATCACTGGTGATGCCTAAGACCGATTTGCACCCTAGAGAAGAGGTGCAGCGTGCGTCAGTGCCGAAGGTTGGCATCAATCTTGCTCCTGCGCCAGGCATGTTTCTACAAAACGCATTGCCAGGTGCAGCATGATGTGTAAGAAAGTCTCACACTGCTTCAAGAGCAACCTCCACCCTTGTAACTTCGGAGCATGCGACACACAAAGCAGGATGAGAGGTAATGGGAAGCTTTGCTGCTGGCTGTGTGAGGCCAGGCAAGTCGTGTGGAGGGAACCTCCATAGCTGTGGACTCCTTTTGCAGCGTTGATGCACAAAAAATCAGGCTCTGATGTACAGAAACAGGGTCTGCCACGGTAAGTATGAAAAGCAATGGATCCAGAAGTTATGGAATTCTAAATCATGATCTAAACGTTCTCCTTAGGTGCCTTGATCAACCTACCTTTGGGGCAATGAAATCAGGATTTAAAATGTCTGGTGTACTGGGGAAACAGAATTCTTCAAAATCCTG